ATTTCTCCAAAGAAGATATACAGATGGCCAACAGGAACATGAAAAGACGTTCAACATCATTAACTATCATGGAAATGCAAATCAAAACTACAATAAGATATCACCTCAAGCCCGTCAGAATGGCTATAATTAACAAGACAGGAAACAACAAGTGTTAGAGAGGATGTGAAGAGAAGGGAACTCTCATACACTGCTGGTGGGAGTGCAAACTGCTGCAGTCACTATGGAAAACAGTATGGAGATTCCTTAAAAAATTAAGAAAAGAACTACCATACAATCCAGCTATTCCACTGCTGGGTATTTATCCAAAGAACATGAAAACACCAATGCATAAAGATACATGCACCCTTGTGTTCCTTGCAGCATTATTCACAATAGCCAAGACTTGGAAGCAACCTAGGTGCCCATCAAGGGACGAATGGGTAAAGAAGATGTGGTATATATACACAATGGAATACTACTCAGCCATAAGAAACAATGAAATTCAGCCATTTGTGACAACATGGATGGACATTGAGGGTATTATTCTAAGTGAAACAAGTCAGAGGGAGAAGGTCAAATATCATATGATCTTACTCATAAGTAGAAGATAAAAACAACAACAAATAAACACATCAAGACAGAGATTGGATTGGTGGGTACTAGAGGGGAAGGGGGGAGGGAGGAGGGCAAAAGGGATGATTAAGCACATGTGTGTGGTGGTGGATTGTAATTAGTCTTTGGGTGGTGAACATGATGTAATCTATGCAGAAATAGAAGTATAATGATGTACACCTGAAATTTATACAATGTTATAAACCAATGTTACTGCAATAAAAAAATAAATAAAAATAAAAAAAACAAAATAAATTTAAAAAAATTTAAAAAATTTTCCCCCAAATTTAAAGTACTGATTGTACTTGATCTGAAGTCACTTTGCCTATCTTCAGTAAGGGAATGCAGCCATTCATCATGATTGTGATAAATCAATTAGCAAATACTTCTACCGCACTGCCTTGGCATTTCCTATTCTTTTCCCTGGATGAACTTTCCCCTCCTTTCTTCAAAATGCTATCCATCCTTCAAGATGCAGCTCAAATGCCATTTGCTCCATGAAGGTGTCCACAATTTCCCATGTTGGAGCACATTTCTTTCTCCTTTGCATGGTCCTGGCACATTTCTGCACAACTGGTCTGGCACTTAATGCATATTCATGGTTCTTGTATACATTTCTCTCCCACATTACGTATAAGTTCCTTTAAGGGCAAAGTGAATTTTATGTACTTCTGCATCCTCCTCTCATGATCATCCTCAGATTAAATTAAAAAATAAAGATAATTCTTCTAAAACCTGTTTCCATTATGCACTTCCACACAAACAACTGTGCTAATGCAAAAATTCTTTGGAATGCAATGAATTTACACAAAACAACTTGAGGATTAGATATTCTTTTAGAGTCCAATCACTAAAGAAATCTCTTTCTCTACTTAGTAGATATACTGGATACTGGATTGCCCTTAAAGCTAGTTCACAGGGACTAAAATGTTGATTTTCAGCTTTTGTGAGAACCATTTTAGCCTTAAATACTTAAGAGAATATTAAACAATCTTTGAAGAGATATTTCAAGAACTTCAACCGAAAAGCACATAATTCAACAAAATGGAAAGGCCACAGTACTCTGTCATGGACACAATTTCCACAATGTTTATAGTCACAAGACCGTCCAATACTTTGTGAGAATATAAAATTTTTGGCTCTAAATTACAAGCTACTTTGTGCCTCACTTTGAGGAACAAAAGCCTGGGTGGCAACAATATTTGCGCCTCCTTTACCGCCATTACCTCTCGTTCTATAGTCTTCCTCCTTAGCAGCTTTCTGACACTTGGGAGCTGCTTCTTTAACAGCATGGTGGCTTCATTCATTCTTCTGACTTGAGTGATCAAGAAAGATGGAACCTGGAGAAGAAGCATAGCTTGACTAGAAGGAAAACACTTGACTTAAACCTCCCTAGTAGATTCTGTCTTCAGTTATGGAAACTCCTGCCGGCCACTCAGTATCCTGGAACCAGGAAGTGTGCCATTTGTCCTTGTAAAGATTAGAAAAAACTATTAGGACTCCTGTTTAAAAGGGAGAATGAGTTCAGGAGCAGCCCTAAAGAGCATATAAAGATACCACAAGCAACCTGGGATTATCTTCTCATATTTCCTCCCTGTGACTAAAGGCAGTGCTTGCTCAAGGAGCCTTTACATTTCCTGGGTGCTGGTGGACCACAGAGGAGAGGAGAACATCACAGGCATCGCATCGTTACTCACCTTCCACAAAATTTTCTGGTACTTAAGCATTAGGCGGATGATGTGGGCTGCGGTGTTTGCTAACAGTAATTCTTCATAATCAGAATGTTTGCTTCTACTGAAGAAAAGGTTTGGCGCCATTACAGTAGAAATGTTCCACATACTCATCCGGTTTTTTGATTCGTTGGCAATCACTTTATTGAAGAACGTCATGAGGGCCTAACAAGAAACAGCATTGTGTCACACTATTGTCAATTATCAAAAGGCACCACTGATTGCTGGCATTCATTTCTACACCCATTGACTGCATCTCTGGAAAACTGTCAGAAGTATAGAATGGTTAAACGTGTCATGTTTCCTCTTTAATTGCTCAAAAATGCTAATGAGAAATGTGAACAGTTTGTCCAATTGTCTGCTGCATAAAAGTAGCTCCATTTTTATGGAGTCCATTATACTGGAGACTCTATAAACAAGAGTTTGCATTTCTTTATTTTCCTTTATCCTAAACAAGTTTGATAAATATTAAAATTAAATAATAAACTGGGAAGAGAAGACCCTGCAGTTCATATAAATATGAAATGCAGTGTCGTTGTGAAGGAAGAAAAGTAATTCTAAAAACACCCTTAATTTAAAGCATTACTGTGGGAAACTATTTGCTGTTTCCTTGGGAAAGGAAAACCCGTTTAAAAACACCTGAGTATCTCATTCCTCAGCACAAAGGCAAACTCAACTGAAAATTTTTAAAAATTTTACTTTTGGGATATCATTTTTCTACTGCTTTTCAATTTTGGAATCTTCAGCAGACCAAAGGAAAATGCTTACATGCAGCTGTTCTAAGCAACAAAAAAAAAAAAAAAAAGAAAAAGAAAGAAATATTTGAGAGAGCTAAATAAAAGTTCGGCTGAGCTACCAAAATATAGATGCTTATCAGAATCTTTTGAAATTCACCAAGAGGACTGAAATCCTAAAAGGAAATGCTGTTTGGTTTTCCAAGTTTGAATTCTGCTACAGTATTTGTAATGAGAAAACGGTAATAATAGTTAACATTTATTTGAGGGTTTATTTTAAGCTGGGCATTATTCTTAGTACTTTATATATATCCACTCATTTTATCATCATTCCGGACCCTGTGAGGTAGTTCACAGGGGCTAAAATGTCGACTTTCTTATTTATTATTAATATCTTTTTATTAACGACAATGAGGAAATTAAGGTGGCGAGGGACTGAGTGCGTTGCCCAGCGTTGGTAAATTATGTGGGAGAGCAAGGACTGGATCCAAGGAAACCTGACTCTTGAGCCAGAGCTCGTCATCTGTACACCACGCTGGCTTCAGTCTTCATTCCAGTCACAATTTAGAATGGGAGAGAGAGAGCGAGAGAGACAGTGTATGCGCGTATATCATCTACACCAGTCCATGTTGTTTCTTGAGGATCTTCTATTAGAAATGTATCGAATTATTTGATAATTGCTCCATCCTCAGGCATATGAAAGGGTAGATGACATTTTGACCCAGATATCTGATACCAGATGCAGTCTTTTTTTTTTTTTTTTTTAATAAAAGAACATTGTTTAGACAAAGCCAAAAAAAAAGGTAATAAATTTCCGGCTTTTGAAAAATTACCAAATTGTATTAAAAACAAACATTCTTCTGCTATAGCCAATCCCCATCCTTGGGTTGAGAATATACTATAATTGACATAGATGTTTTCACTATGTAGGAGGAAAGGTCCTCACCAAATTTAAATGTCTGATAAGAGGGAGCCCTAAGAATCATCTTTGTTTTCAGCAATATATTTACTGGCCTCAAAATTATAGGCTCTTTCCAAAGCATCCTTACCTCAATTTCATTTCAAAGATTCTAAACATCTGTTGTACTTATAACAAATTTCCAATGTATACAGAGTCAATATCAAAATAGCAAGAGAAGCTTTTATTTTTACCAACATATGGCAAAGAAATGAATTTGAAATAAAGGGAGAGATATTTGGGATGAAGAACTACGGAATATGATTATCAAATGTTCTATGTTAATGGAGAAGTCACTTTTCTGAGCTTAATTTTCCTAATCCACTAAATGACAAGATCCTGTCAGGTGATCTCTAAAATTCTGAGATTCTAGAATTCTTTAAATTGAATTATGTTCATAAATTGTAAGGCATGGACATTTTAGAAAATCATTTAAATCAGTGATTTCAAATTTCCTCCCCAAAGACACTCCTCAGATATTTTGCCACTCGACTGAAGTGAGCAGCTGAGGACCAACAACTGCAGGGCTTTAATTCTACAACTGACATAATGGTCTCATCTATTTCTGACATTATTCAGTGTAAGTCTTCCATCTTTGCTTCTCCTGCTGCTAACCCTAGCCCAGTGCCTGGGACGTCGCAGACACTTAATATCTCTTAATAGATGGAATGAATGAAACTAAAGTGTTCAAAGAAGATTCCAGGATTTACATTCTTTCGTGTCTTCCTCAGGAGACCAGCAGTGGGAACAAGGAAAGGCAGTAGGTTTGCAGCGTGCTCAGCTGGCTTGGTAAATTGTCACCTCGGTTTTCATTTTTCCATCTGTGCCATTGCCTCTGACCAGTAAGAGCCAGTGACAGACCATGGGTTGATACCACATGCCTGGGCTGCGTCCCATATGACATACCTGGGCTGTGTCCCTGCTGGCATCGGGCAGTGCCATGACCATGAGGCCAATACCACATACCTGGGCTGCGTCCCATATGACATACCTGGGCTGTGTCTCTGTTGGCGTCGGGCAGTGCCATGACCATGAGGTGTAAGGCTTGAAACTGCACTTTGACGTGAGGCCCACCTAGCAAGAAAACAGAAATAACCACACATTTTGAACAACACTGATGCATTCTGACAGCACTTTTTGCTAACATCTGGTGGCATAGGAGGGCTCCTGGTGGCTTTCCACGGTCAGGAATCAGGTTTTGTGCCCAACAACTTGAATCTGTTCGTTGGATAGCAGTATCAGTCTATCAACTCCTCTTTCACATCCCACGACGCCACTGAAAAGGCAGGTGGCCAACGAAATCCTCCAGATAATTCTGGATCTGTAGAACATTTCCCTTTTCAAAGTGCTGTCACAGATCTTGCTTTACTTTCATGCTATAAATGGAAGGCTTGAAGCTCAATTCAAGAGAAAAGAAATCTTGCTTCCACATAATGAGGCAGCAAAGTATAATTGTTAGGAGCATAGATCCCAGAACCAGGTTCAAATCCTGCATCAACCACTTAGTCACTGAGTGACCTTGGACAGCTATTTAACCCTTTGCTGCTTCTATTTTATCCTCTGTAATATGGGAGTAGTCATCCCACCCACCTCAGCGGGCTGTCATGCAGGTTAAATGAGTTAGTATCTGTGGAGTGTTTACATTGGTACCTGTACCGATGTTACTTCTACATGTGTTTGTTCTTGTTATTATTATTAATGATACTTATTCTAGATCTTAAACGGACATTAAGAGAAGGTGACTGTAGTTGGATCTTTGGAGATCTTGGGTATTGTATTCCTTGACAATGACAGAAGATGGTGCCAGAGGGTGGCATTTATACTATGTTCTCAGTGGGGCTCTTTTCCCAGTTTAGGGAAAGGATTTTAGGGATTCCATCCACTAATGGGTAATCCATAACCAGCTGTGCTGAAAAGGTAAGTATAGCAGAGCACCTAGGCTTTGCTTTGTCTCTATATTCTCTTCACAATGGTCTCTTAGTGGGGAGTTCCTGGAGGAAAGCATTATGTTCTAGAATCCCCAGGGAGTTCTCAAGTTGAAGGAAGATCTATCTATTTATATTCAGTGGATAAAAGGCAGTCAGCTGCCTGTAAAAGGTACTTAGCTTTACAGTGGTGGAAACACTGTTGTGACAAGCTACTAGGTTACAGGAGTTTGGGTGAACCGGAGTTAGGAGTAAATGACTAACGTATACAGCCATGTAATGAAGGGATGGTTGGAAGGAGTATTTATAGGATCGTATCATATTGTCTCAGCACAATCCCCATGTGGGTTTTTAGAAATTTATGTCAAATTTGTAAACAGAAACGACACAGGTCCAAGATGTTTTTGAAAATGGCTAATGCACATTGATGTGAGTTTGCCTGAATAACAGGAATTATCAGGAGACTATCTCAGTGCAAAGCATTTAGGGACAAATAAGGCATTATTTTATTTTATTTTTTTTAATTTTTATTTATTTATTTCCCCCAAAGCCCCAGTAGATAGTTGTATGTCATAGTTGCACATCCTTCCAGTTGCTGTATGTGGGACGCGGCCTCAGCATG